AAATTTTGGGGGGGTGGGGGGGGAAAATTTTTTTTTTTTTTTTTTTTTTTTTTTTTTTTTTTGTAAAGTTCTTGCGAAGTAAAAGTGACACGCGAATTAACGCTGACTATTGCGATGACATTGAAAGACCCGAGTGGCGATCGCGGAACGAATATCGATTTAAATAACGAAGGGGAAAAATTCCGAAGCGTGAATGGTCTTTCCTCCGCAGCACAGCTCCGACGAATGATGAGCTCGCATCTGTCACTCCTGCGGATGTTTCAATTAAGCCTTCGCGATTCAAAGACGGAGAGCAGCGGGGGAAGAAGGATGAGAAGAAGAGCGATTCCTCGCCACGGTCGTCGGTCCAACTAATCGCACGGGAATACGAGAGCCAGGAGAGTCCGGGTACCAAGCTTAACGACGACGACGACGACGACGACGACGACGACGAGGAGGAGAGAAATCCTGGGGGGTCGTCGATTCTGTTCGATGCTAATTCGCAAAGCATTGAGCTTACCTCAATCGATGAGTCGTCTTGCGGGATAAAGGGGCTACAAGTGCAAACGATTAATGGCACCAACGGCGACGACGTCGACGACGACGACGATGACAAGGGGAATGGCAAGCTAAATGACAAATCACTCGTCTGCATTGTCGAGGAATTGGTTTACGCGAGGTATTAATTAAATTTAGTAGTACATTATTGACTCGTTTTTGTTTTTTTGTATTTATTTATTTTATTTTTTATTTCTTTCTTCTTTCTTTCTCTCTCTTTTTTTATTTTTATTTTATTTTTTATTTTTTTATTTTTTTAGTCTCTGTCGAGCTTTCCTTTAAAATCCTCCATCTTTACAGATATAATCCAGCGCCGATTATTCGTCGAAAACTTCAGAAAAAGCCGTTTATTCCGAGGAGCATCAATCATACAGGTTGGACTTATAACGTAAGCTAGTAGAAATTTACCTCAATTTAGACAAATGCTATTTCATGAATTTTACTCGTTCGTCAATCGGTACTCACAGATACTTTGGCTTCATCGTATTATGCTCGAGCAACCAGTTTCCTAGCCAAGTAACTGGATCATTCGGCCTCTCTTCACAGCACTGACGTAGACATTAGCGTTTCATAATTCTATACGCGCGCTAGTTAAGTGAATAATAAATAAAATTTACCTTAACGAGAGCATTGAATAACGGTCCATTTACATATTTCTTTAAATACTCCACGGTGTCTTCTTCGTCTAGTAATGGCTCCTCAATACCTAATGATAATAAATAATAAATGAATTTTTAAATTTTTAGAGTCAATAATTTACATTCCATACATAGACTTACGATCAGGAAAGAAGAAATGAATTTCCCTTTCAGCAGCTTGCGGACTATCGCTTCCATGGACTGTATTTTTCATATCGTCGCCTTTTCTCCCATACTTTCCCCTAATACTATCAGGAGCGTAAATTCTAGCATTTGTAACCTACTATAATAATAATAATCTAAATATCCAAAAAAGGAGTTGTAATTTTGCGAAGACCGGCCATTACCTTTTTCGGCCCTATTAAACTTTTCCACTCTTTAATAGCATTGCACTTGGCAAGTACAAAAACGAGAATTGGTTCTGAGCTCATGTAAGTAATGAGATGAGCGAAATTTCTTCGTTTATAATTGTCAAAGTAAAAATCCGATACTTGCTCCGGTGTCAGCTGTAGCCATCTCCTTTGACAAATTTTAAATCCTTCATCAATTATTTCTCGCTCAATTTCGTTGCGGTACATCATACCATCTGGTTTTATTATTGCCAGTGTGCATTCTACTGGTAGATCTTGTGGACGATCGATTGTAGTATCGGTATCCAATGAATCACATGATGATGAACAGACACATGTTTTTAAAGACGATTCTTCGCTTATACAGGTACAAGGTTTTAACGAACTTTCATCGTTGCTAGAGCAGGAGCACGGTTTTGAAGAATCTTTGTCATCGCTCGCACGTGATTTATTCACTTGGCCATCAGATTTTGAATAATCATTTTTAATCTCTTTCATCGATACATTATATTGGCGATACTAAAAATTTAAATTACAATTTATTATATGACGAGATATTTTCATTTAAATATAATTAATTAATTTTATCCCATTACGTTTGATAATGCATTCGATGAATTATTCGTTACATCTGTTGAATTACTAGCTCCTATCTTCACAATTCTATACAAATTAGCAATATTTTCATTTCCATTTTCAATTTTGTCATTTGAATCTTTTTGCAAACTATCACTGTCTACGGTGATGCAATCGCATGTCTCGGAAGAACTCATTTTACTTTATATAAACAATATAAATTATTTGTCTGCTCTACGAACTATCTTCGGCAAATAAATTTTTAGGTTAAAGAAACAAAAACAAACAAAAAGAAAAAAAAAATTAGTTTCATCCTATTGACAAATATAACGATTTAATGCTCGTATACAATTCGGAAGAGTTCTTTTATCTTTTATTACGCGCGGTGCCTTTCAATTCTCCTCCTTCTTTTGTTTATTCTGAAAAAATGCAGTCTTGTAATCTTATCGTACACTCTTACTAAATTAAAAATCTATACAAATATCAATATTTATTGTTACAATACATTATTGGCAATGTTTCAGAGTAAATTTTGTAAATTTAGTCAAATAAATTATTGTTAAAAGAAATTGTAATTGTGAAAGTATTTACAAAATTTTGTCCAGAACAATTAACTTATTGGCAATTTTCAGGTGAAAACGATAATGCTGAAATACTAAACATTAATATTTCGATAAACGATACAAAAAACGGTGAAACGAATAAATTAAGAGAAGACAAAAAAAAACAACCAGTTAGAAAAATTCGAAAGATTAGCTTATCAATGCCAACGAAGCTAAATAATATGGATCAGCTTCAAATCAGCAATGAAAAGGTAAGAAAAAAATCATTTTAGACACGAATGATGTTTTTATTTATTTTTTAAAAAGAAAAACATTTTAATAATTCAATTTCATAAGTTGAAAAATGAAACTTGAATTAAAATGTTCCCTTAACTCCAGAGTTAAAATACAAATAAACATTATACATATACATGTGTGTATATAATCATAAATACATCGTTTGTATTCTTCTATGATTTTGGCAATTTTAATACATGATTTCACCAATGAACGAATACAACACGAAAGATCGCATGTACAGCCCGTACAGCCATTACAACGAGCGGTTTCCGGTCTCAAATACGAGACATATGTGATAACTACGGTAGATTTGAATTCACAAACTATAAAAGAAACATCATATAAGGAATTTATATGAATTTATATCATTAATTTATCTTAATTACTAAATTGAGATTAAAATTTAGAATAAATTATTAAATTATTAAATCCGTTAATATATTAACGGAGTTGAACCGTGGAATGAGCGTTATTAATTTACGAAAAGCAATAACACTTATTTTTAATTATATATGAAAATTATAACAAAAATATCAATATAATAACCACGATAATTTTAAGTTATATAAAGAATTTGTTGATTGACAATGATCCAACACCGTAATTGTCATCTGACGCCACACAATAGACCGTGAAAACCGGATTTCTACGTGCGACATACGATTACATAATACACATGAACTATATTTCATCGCCCGGCCATTTATAATCAAACATTAGAGAATATAAAGGATAATAATCATCATATAACTAGCTTTTCATAACTCCAATTATAATTTAAGCTATTTTTCATTTCAACTAAATAAGTTTCCTTAACTTCGAATCAAAGCCTAATAAGTTTATGATAAAAATAAAATTGATAAAATACATATGGCTTATGACGATCATTTTTGTCTTACTAACCATTTTATTAAACAAAAATGCTCATTCTTATCTCAAATTATGACTATTATATTATAAAATTAAAAAATTTTTTGTTATTAACAATTATTTTCAATTACTCAATCATACATTGACTATTATCGTAACAGTTTTTTATGTATATAAAATTTATCTCAAATTAAAAAAAATTAAAAAAAAAAAAAAAAAAAAAAAAATTAAAAAAAAAAAAAAAAAAAAGATTCATAAAAATAGCAAATATTTTATGTTCCTGTAGATAATTCAGCACTCTTATTTATTAACGGAAGGTTTCATAAATAATATATAAAAACATTTTTTGATATTGGAAAGTCAATTGCAATATTTTTCACGTTTGTCATTTGTATTCGTCTATCCCCATAAATAAGTACATTTTATATATTTCTCATAGTCACTTCTTTATTCTTCAATCATAAAAAATTTCAGAACTATGTTTGTTTTTACATTTTCGTAATAATTGTAATAGATAATAAAATGAAAAAAATGTACTATGGACACATTGTCCATTATTACGTATAATATCATAACAAAAATTAATTTATGCAAACATTAGGTTTTATCGGAGATTACGATTTAGTTAATAAATATTGTAAATTTTAATGATTTCTCAACTTTTACGTAATTGAAAATACTATAAGATTTTCTTTATTTAAAACAACTAATTATATAATATTTTTTTAACATTACCGATTAAATTATAAGTATAATGATTATTAACGTACATTTTTTTCGTTGACTTTTTTCCGTAGAGTGTATCATCAAAATTTTCAAGACACGAAAGTGATAGTAGTGCAACTTTTAGCAACAGCGGATCGACCTTGAATGGCAGTACTTTAGCCTCTGAGACCGAGGATGAAGATAACGATGAAGAATCATCAAAGTAGGTATCGCCATAGATTCCGTATTTTTATTATAATTCTTATAATATATTATCACATCCAACATTCAATAATATAAACACAAATGTCCGCCAATGTTGCTCATACTTCTTGAATGTTTTATCTATGCTGTACAATAAACAATGTAAACAATGAAAAAATAGAATGTTATCGAAGACGATGCAGATCAAATCCACTATCAACGACCAAAATATAATTATCGCTCCCTTGGGCCAGACAATTTTTTAAGAATCCTCGCTTGTTTTGCCATTTACATTATTCCAAACTCTTACTTACCCTTCTCCCCTCGGTATCCTCGTCTTTCCTCTTCTTCTTCTTCTTCTTCTTCTTCTTCTTCTTCTTTCTTATTTTTTCTTGCTCCTGATCGCGCGGCGCATTGATGAGTGACGCCAAAGTAGTTGCGCTCGACTCTACCGACGGTCACGATCATCAACGTATATTCTCCATTAGCGTCTTTCAGATTCGGTTATTCAACCTCGCTTGATTCAACGCACGTCTCTTATCGTAATCGTGAACTCGAGAGAGTGAATTTCGTCAAGGTCAGCAGAAGCATCCGCTTGTCCCGACATGATTCCGAGATACGACGTGGGAAGTGCGATGTCTTTGCAGAGGTATATACGTCGTTACATCATGTCATTGTCTTGAGGGAAGACTATCGTGATTGTGAGCCTATTAAAGAATTTTACTTATATATAGCTGCTACCGAACTTATGAGGAATCGTCACCATTAAATCACATCGATTGTTACTTATTTATCGAGAAGATAATAACAAATTGCATTACCGTGATTTGACCCAACAAGATGTTGGAATTTAGTCATTGCAACCAAGTGTTGCAATATATATATATACATATATATATATATATATATATATATATATATATATATATATATATGTATTAGTCATTTTTATATGCGCGATAATAAATCACGGATGTTACAATATTAAATATCAAGTGTTTGTTTTTCGTTAGGATACCCCTTCAGTCACCTCCAAGACAAGTCGGCAATATTCCGTCGCCAATGAACTCACGAAAATTGGCTAACGAGCACATGGAATTTCCAAACATACAAAGTACAAATTCCACAATAACTAGCGTCAACAGCATTAGTAGCCTATTGAAGGAAAAGCTACAATGGTCGATACCTCAAGCTCTACGAAGCAATAAGAAAAGACAGAATGCAGATTACAGGTTAACGAATATATACATATATATTGTAGTAAATCATAAGCAGTAATTTTTTCAAATGTTATTGCATTATCGATGAATTATTATAAATTATTATGCATGCGTATAATAATAAGTCGTCTGACTTTTCATTAATTACAAATAAAAATATTCTTATCATAAAGCAACTCGTGTATCACCGCGCTTGATTATATTTGCACCGAAGAAAAATAAAATATGTAGTGTAGGTATAATTACAAAAGTTCAATTATTAGTCAAAATATTAAATGAAATTGTTCCCTGAAGAATGGTTGAGAGGTGCTTTGCCATATTATTAGATTTTATAATTAAACATAATTCAAAAATAATTTCATAATTTATTAATATTTATAGTGTCGTTTGCTGTATATATATTTACTCTCAATTATATTCATAAAACAATCATACAATACAATATAACATAAAATTATCCAACGGATTATAATTTATTAAAGCTATTAAATATTTTATAATTGAAAATGCGTAGAATGAATTAAATTCATCGTCATTTAATATAATGTGATCTAATATACAAGCATTTAAAATTAATTTTAATAATACTGTACACCCGATATATTATAAAGTAATTATTTATTAAAAAGAGAGAGAGCGAGAGAGAGAGAGAGAGAGAGAAGATGATATGACTATTTAATAATAATAATAATAATAATAATAGTAATAATAATAATAATAACAAACAAGTTTTTCCCAATGACGAATAATAGTTTTATTTCGACTTATAAATATATTTTAGTTCATCAATCAATTGATCCAGGAACTAAATAAAAATAATAAGAAATACTCGCTGATTTTTTGTTAATGAACTTTTTTTTCTCGATAAAGATATATTTTTATAAAAATCTTACATACATAATACTAAGTATTAAAAATATAATAATACATTATTTTAAATTATTATCGAATATTAATTATTTATAAATACGATGCTCGGAAACTGAATTAATATACAGACTTGAATCAATTCGATATATATTTATATTATTGCAAAATAATCATTTTTTTTTTTCAAAGGCATAATATAAAAAATATTTGCAACTAATTTAATATTCTCATCTCCATAGGCTTCGAGGATTCGTTGGTTTTCTATTCTTGTGCGTTGTATTTTTAGTTGGATTTGCACATATATACTACACTCAACATGTGTTGCAGCGAGCTTATTTCGATAAATTTAGGTAATAAAAGTTTCATAAAAAATAAGCAGAATTAGATAAAAGAAAAAAAAAGAAAGAAAAAAAGAAAGAAAAAAAAAGAAAAAAAAAAAGAAAGAAAAAAAAAGAAAAAAAAAATATAAGAAGAAGAAGAAGAAGAAGAGGATGAAAAAAACTTGAATTAATAAATTGATTTTTTCATTCTAAAGGTTTAATAAAAACGAAAGACTAATGCACGTGTACAACAGTGTCGGGGTAGAGATAATAGCAGCGCGCCTTGGGGTAGGCATACCAACCGACACAGGAGTATTTTCATGCCTACCTCAACATCAGCGCACCGATAAGGTTTGCCTTGAATGGCTACAACACTCGAGGCTTTATCTCGGTCACACTAAACGAGATTCCATAAATTGCTATCACGTTACTTGGCAGAGTCTCAATTACGGTGTGAATCCCAAGGATTGCTTCGACTGGTCACCAAAACGGGGTCACTGGTATGGCGCTGGTCAAGTTCAAAACATGGCCTACCCACTGGAGCAGGGAAGACTCGACCCGAGTCCCTTTATCACTGGTGATATAAGGAAGCATCCGTTCGGCAATGTTCTCAAGCGGTACTTTCTTAATTCAAAAGGTGCCACTATTACCGTCGATCCGGAAACACCTCTTTACGTATCGATCAATGTCACGCAAAAGAAGGAATTGTGTTTCACGGCAAAGCACGATGCCTTTGCTTACATTAATCATTTAACGACGTTTCCCCAATTGAATTACTCAATTTGTACGACGGATAATATGAGGACTCTTCACTCATCGATGGTGGAAAAATTCCTTTGGGATGGTCTGAAACCGGATGAGTTGCAAGCTGTGCCCTCGTTACTCACCGAGCCCGTTTGGCAAATCTCTCCCACCAACGAGGCAGATATTTACAATTACACCGAGGACGTTATAGCACTAGGATTCCTCAGACAGGGGCACGTGCTCCTTAGCGAAGAATGGCAACCGAGTTCGGGGGACTTTGTCCTCGATGAAACGCGATTCAAGTCTATGAAAGATACGATCGATGTCATTCATCGACGAGGTTTTCGAATCGTATTTACCGTTCAGCCATTTATTTCAGCAGAGTCAGAGAATTTCAAAGACGCTGTAAATAATAGGCTGCTTATTTCTGAACGCGGAAGTGATCCAAGAATACCAGCTTTAACCAGATATAAACAAGTTAATAGCGCTGGAGTTTTAGATATTACTAATAACAAGACCCTCCCTTGGCTTCAAAATAAACTGGAATTGTTGATAGATAAATATCACGTTGATTCGTTTTACTTAGACTTGGGCACCGCTCAGGATATGCCACATTATTACAAATGCGAGCAGCCTTTGACCAATCCCGATCATTATAAAACCTTATTTGTCAATTCTATCTTGGGATCAATTCCAGTTATTGGTGTCTCCAGTGCCATAGCCCGACCAAGAGCGCCTGTTTTCGTGTCGCTGCCACCGTTTCCATCGTCTTGGAAAGCCATCAAGACAGTAATACCAACTGTACTTAGTTATGGAATCATTGGTTATCCTTTTATTATGCCTGGTGCTGTTGGAGGAGACGTGGCATTGCCAATGTCCGATAATAATCCAGACAATGATTACGAAGTTAATTTGCCCGACAAAGAGCTATATATTAGGTAATTTATCGATCATCGATCGACTCGAAAAATTTCTATGAAATATTCTGTAATTATAACAATGGAAATAATGATGGGAAATTAATTAAACATCATATGATGCAGTAGCGCAAAATTGTATATAAATGTCATGAAATACCGTTAGAACGTTAAATTTTTATTTCACTATTTTAATCTTTTTACCATTTATTTCACATCATTATTCCATCGTTTTTATATACGAATTCTTATTAATCTTAGTGAATGCCAATATAATAATGGAAAAATTCATGTATTTATGTTATTATATGTTTCAAAAATCTCTCGTTGGTGAATTACATTGCGAAATAATGGCAAACAAAATAAAGCAAAAAAATACTTTCAAAATATCTCCAAAATAATAATATTCTACTTCACATGATAGGCATATTAACAATAATGTTACGCCAAACCTTTTCACTTTCAATCCACCTAGGTCACATAGTTATATATTACCAATAGAAAAATATAGAAGAAAAAAAAAGAAAGAACAATTAAAACAATTAAAACTACAAAAGAATTCTTGATAAATATATATTAAAAATTTGCATAATCATAATATTTTTTTACCACTTGCAGGTGGCTGCAGCTGTCAACGTTTCTACCAGTGATTCGATTCACGCACCTGCCTAGCAAATATTCCGATGAAAGTGTCCTCGAAATAGCCAAGAGCCTGACGACTCTGCGACAGAAAACCGTGACACCTCTGTTGAAAAAATATGCCAACGTTACCTTGGACACGGGGCTGCCGATAATCAGGCCCTTGTGGATGCTCGACCCCGCGGATCCAGCCTGCCATTTAGTAGTAGACGAATTCTCCGTTGGCGAAGAGCTTATCGTAGCTCCGATTCTCCATTCCGGAAGTCGACAGCGTGAGGTTTATCTGCCGGCCGGCGTATGGAAAGATGGAATCGACAAAAGCCTGAGGAAAGGTTCGCGTTGGATTCACAATTATAGAGTCGCCGAAGACAAAGTTGCGTACTTCGTTAAAATGCCCGATGACATGAGATTCTGACTGTACATATATTGTGTAGCGAGATGGAAATTTAAGGAAAACTGTCTCTGTTATACTACATCTCTTATTGTTCATTTTATATATTTTGCCCATCGACACTTATCAAAGATCATTGAATGACAAAGTACAAAAATCGTGATTGAGACGATATGTATTTATAATTTTCCTCTAATAATATTTATTTTACACACGACTGACTTCAGTTTAATTGCAATTGCACCTAAAAGATTTGTATTTAGCTATTTCAAAGAATAAATATAAAATATATTATTAGGTGTATACTCATTTTGCTTAACGTTAACATTAAAATTGAGTATTTCAGACTCGTTAAATCATTCCATCGAATATGAAATTGGCAATAAATAGTAATAATATTGTAAGATTATCCAAGTGCAGAAGGTAAATAAATTTCATAATTACCAGATAATTAATGTACTACCTAATGTCATTTAACATCATATATATATATATATATATATATATATATACGTAAGAGTGCGCTCGTGCTCGCGCAAACACGCACTCGTTGATTTGTTTATTTATTTATTAAAATAATCTCGTATTTACTTAAAATACTAATGGATAACGTACTTACCAACACCTTTAATTTATCACTGTTGATACAAATAAGATGAAATAAAAAATAAATAAATAAATAAATAAAATAAACATATAAATAATTTAATTAAGGTTTTAATTAAAAGGTTTTAATTAAGGTTTAATTAAAAAAAAGAAGAAAGAAAACAGCTGATAAGGTATAGTTTATATTTATTATATTATTAATTTTATCATATAGTATAACATTATTATTTCTATTATAATAATCATAGCACCATGAACACTCCACAGTAAGTTTTAATTCGTTACTCGAAAACGCGATGCGACGGTGCGCTTCGAGGAATGAGAACCGAAGGTGGTAAGAATTTCGCGTATTTTCCTAAGCAATAATCAATAATTGTTTTGCAATAATTTTAATTACATAAGAATAATCGTTCGTTTGGAAATTCGAATGACTAGATGATTTTACGTTAATAATATAGGAAAACATAGCGCTTACGATCACTGACTAGAGCCTCAATATCATTATGAATAGTCCACAGACGCTTTGTCTTTGAAATAAAATCATTACGAATAGTCCACAGACGCTTTATCTTGGAAATAAAATCCATTACAAATTCAAAGCAGCTGATAAGACACGCGATAAGTGTCACACCGGCGGCATTCTTCAAATTAAAAAAAAAAAACGGCTTGCGAAAATTTTACGAAGCGCTTAAGCAACAAACACTACATGCAAATACGAATGTTCCGCTTGCCCGCTCGTTCCATGCCAATTTCTCACTTTCCAAATCGCAATTTTTGTTTTTTTGTTTTTTTTATTTATTTTTTATTTTTTTTCAGACTTTTCGACAACTCTTACGCTCTGTTCCCATCTTCAGTGTGCATCGCGATATTCGGAAGGCTCAGTGCGGGTGTTCACCACTTCACATGACTCTCTCGCTCTATGTAAGAAATTTTCACGTTTCGCTACGTAAGTCCTCCGTTAATTGCACTCCACCTATTAATTAAATTTCTCGTAAAGCTCATTTCTAATGTGTTGTTACATTGGATTCGCTGAATGATTAAAAATTTTTCCACGTTAAAACGTTCGCTAATCAATTTATTGAATTTTCGATCCTGCATTTCTCTTCGCTTTCACTGACCGACAAAAGAAAAAGTCCTTTTTCTTATTTATCTATTATTTCGTTCTCATGTAATTCCGTCAATTTAATGCAATCGCCCTACCTAAATATCTGGTCAATTATTACTCGTTAATAAATAATACATAAATACACAGTTACATGCTTCCTCATATCTTCCTAACAATAATGACCTTTCTCACTCTCTTTCTCTCACAATTCACTCTCTTTCTCGCTCATTCTGAATCCGCATACACATTTTTTTTTATGTTTTTTTTTTATGTTTTTTTTGTTGCATTAATGCATGTTATAAAAAGCTTGGTTTGTTTTTTTTTGTGTTTTTTTTTTCTTTTGTTTTGTTCTGTTTGTTTTGTTTCGTGAATTAAGGAGAACGATGATGATCATGATGACTTCTTTAGCCGTAAATCGCAAATAATTCACGTTTCAATATAAGTTAAGTACACCCGTGTATCTTCATATAGAAAGTCGTTTTTAAATAATCATTTGACATAAACGACGGGAATGGACTTTTTCGCATTAACAAATAATAATTCTCTCTACATATGCTATCTAACTAATCAAATACATATACATACATGTAGTCGAAAAACGAACGAACAAACAATTTACAATGTAAATTATGTAATTGCATAATAAGGATTTTTCGTAAGGCCGGCTGAAAAATAGGTGGTAAAAAACTTACCTAGAATAAGCTTTCCAGTTATTGGTCCCATTTTCTTACCACAGACAGAAATTAATAAAAAAAACAGGACAAAACAAAAGAAAAGAAAAGAAAAGAAAAGAAAAGAAAAGAAAAGGAAAGGAAAGAAAAAAATGTATTATCACGAATCAACAATCATAATGTTATGTAAAGTTGATTGACAAGACTCTACGCTATCCTATTACTCATCGTTATCGCCCTTTCTACGAGACGACAGCCGGAGATTGATTGTGAGATGAAATAGGAAAATTGATAGTCAAACTACTCAAATTCAATATAGAGAATTGTGTGCTTGGCAACGTGGCATCATTCGGTACCAATAACTGTTAAGCTTAGGTCTTCCTATGTCTTGGACGAGGTCAAACTCTCGTGAGCCCGACATCGTTTTAAATCACAATTCTTTCATTTGTTCTCTCTCTCTCTCTCTCTCTCTCTCTCTCTCTCTCTCATTATTTTCAGACGCATCACATCGTAAACACATCGCTATTGTAAAAATCGCACTTTATTAGGCTATTAAGAGGCGCGTCCAGCGCACTTAGCCTTACTCTTCGATCGGGCACCAGGCATTTCACTCTCCTTCAAATTCTTATCTTCGCATTTATTATAATCGCAAGGGGTCGCCATAACCGAGCATTAAAATCTCTAGGGTCCATCGTCACGCGTTCAAATGTGACGCGCGCGCGCGTGTAAATACAATAACAAGCAAATCCGAAAGGAAAACTTCCGGGAGCGAGCAACGACCGTTTGTATTACCGTAACTCGTAAAAACTCAAAATGCGCCATCGCTGTCCGACAAGGACAAGCTCCTATTACGCCATCCGCGTATATTAGCTAATATTGAGCTTCTCGCTTATACAATTAAAAATCTTAAAGATTCGAACGTACATAACAAATGTAATGGAATAATGAAATCCAAAATAACGCAACCTGAAGACATCAATGAGATTTTTTGATTTTAGGGCACTCGCTACTATCATTATCGTCATTATCGTCATTATCATCATCATTATCATCATCATTATCATCATCATTATCATCATTATCATAATTTATCACCACGCTAAACGGGTTCGTCATCTTTGCCCAATCCCATAACGAGCAGTATAATCGCTATCATCGACGGATGCGCAAGTATAAAAGTTTTGTCACTCGTTAGAAATTATTTTTTCTGTTTCTCTTATCTTTCTTTTTTTTTCTTCTTCTTTTTGTTTTTGTTTTGCTTGGCTTCCTCTTCCATTGCCTCTGTGTGTCCTATAAATTAACGCTACGACTCTTTGAATTATCTGGGAGTAGAAATGGCTAAAGACTGTATCGACCGACACTCCATGCCTCCCGATATTATAGCTCTCGCCATATTCCACAATGACTCGGGCTTTGGCTTTTTAACATATGGACTCATTATCATTTGGATGGATGTTTATGTAGTTTTCAGTTTAGTTAAGTGTTTTATTTTTTTGTTTTTTTGTTTTTTTGTTTTTCTTTTGTTCTGCTTTAACACGCCCTACTTCGCTGATTATAATTGCCTATATACGTCATCTATACATACATACATACATACATACATACATACATACATACATACATACATACATACATACATACATACATACATACATACATACATACATACATACATACATACATACATACATACATACATACATACATACATACATACATATATATATATATATATATATATTTTTTTTTTTTATTTGCTTTTCTTTTGATATATTTTTTTTTTTTTATATATATTCATGTAAGTCTCTTAATTTTGGGACGTGACAGTGGACTTTGCCAGCTAGTATATTTTTCATATGAACGACCTCGTATTTCGTAACTCTAAAACATTAGGGGTTACGACATTGATAATATTACGCTTTTCCCGCTAAAGTTAAAACGAGTTATGGAGCAAACACTTCCAAATTTTCCCAAAAAGATTTTACGAACAACTCTACACTTTGAATATCTTATTCTCGTTATGTCATACAAGAACGTGAATTTTTTACGAATAGACATTTATGGTAACAAGAGATTAGTAATAATCTTAATAATTGGTAATTGAATAGGAAAAAACATTTTACGTATCCCAGGAATTCTATTGAATTAATGGACGCGCTGTAATAATGTATCTCTTAGCATCGCCTCGTCGTCCATTTAATTAAACGTTCTGTCATTATTAATTGTAAATAAGACTTGTTCGCAATTTTTTCATGTACGTTAATCTATTTCAGTGCCATTTAAAAGCAGATTGAATATTTCGAAAAGTGTTTCGACACAAACGAACAATCACGCACTTAACTTATAATCGTAATGTTCTGTTACAAGGGCAGCGCAATACTCTTGGAATTACTTGATTTCATCTCCCTTTTATAAACGAATAATTTTCTTAACGCAACAATATTTATATATCGTTAAAATTAAAAAGAAAGATAAGAAAGAACAAAAAAAGAAAAAAAAAGAAAAAAAAGAAATGAGAGAAAATGGAAAAGAAATAATTATTTTACGTGGTTTTAATGTATGTATATATATATATATATATATATATGTATATATATATTCTATTGTATACTGTCGGTTATTACATCAACACTCGAGAAGACGCAAAGTCGTCTTGGAGAGTTTTTTGTGCCAGGAAATCACGGGAATAGATATGATGTGCTGATAATTAAATATTATTTATTTATTAATCATTGAATTTCTCAAGTCCATTTGTTTGGCATCCGAGATATCAAAAATACGAAGTAAATATCTCCTGAATTCCATTTAAATTTGTCTTTTTTTTTAATGCAAATTGCGCTCAATCGAATAAACTCGAATTACCTCCCTCCATCATCGTTAACACATTTCCTCGATAATCAAAACACCAATGATCGACCGCCTACTTTTTCTCTCAGATGCCATCTCTCTTTCTAACTTTTTGTTTATGCTCATTACAATATCACTTGTCGCTTTCCCGCCTATTCCAATTTCATTCTACCGTATGATTATTTATTTATTTATTTATTTGTTTCTTTTGTTGCTAATACATCTTGCATATAAAAGCGCCGGGAAATTAGGTGAAGTAACACAGCTTTCGTTAAAAACTCGAACATTGCTACGAATACATGCAAATAAAAAGTTCAAGGGCGGCATATTTATCGACTCATCGTAAAATACGTGACGGTTTTATGCTTCAGTTCGTCGGTATGTACGCAAAGTACGACAGACTCTTCGAAAAATTTATCTCGAGGACGGGAGTTTTTGGATAATGCTATAGCCTTTTAATCATTATTACCTAAAATCGTGGATCGCACTGGGGCGCAATGACAATACGACCTCGATCGAAGAATAATTAATTAATCGTCGGAGTTAGGCCTGTACGCGCGAGACTTGACACGTAATCATTATTGCTGAAGAGCTTTAAAACTCAAGTCTATAGGCGCTGCAGCTGGTTTCATGATCCTGTAGGTTAATCGTGCACCTCGATGCCGAGGGTGAAAGGTCGATGTGGTGAGTAGCGAGAGCCTCTTCGTTATCGGCTACCCAATAGCCGAGAGTATCCGTGTCGTAGGTCGGGATCATCGTCACTTCTGTAGAAGATCAAAAACAAACAAAAAAAAAAAAAAAAAAAAAAAAAAAAAAAAAAAAAAAAAAAAAAAAGAAAAAAAACAAAAAAAAACGTTAGTTTGATCGACGCACTTTATGATAAATATAACGACAAAAGGCTTAAGAAAAAAAAAAAGCGCATAAAGCTCACCTAAATCTTTGTCTTCCCAAGACTTTTTGGCTTCCAATAGGGCGTCGTAAACCTCGCGACTCGGCTCTGTGCCGCTAAAAACATAATATCGTGCTCGGACTTTTTTGAAAAATTCTAAGGCCGTGTAGAAGGAATTGCCATGATGCGAGACATAAGTCAAATCAACGTAAACTGGTTGCACCTTATTCTTCGTCTCCTTAATTCTTTTTTCAATTTTATTAGGACTCTCGGAACGCTTTCTATTCTTAATATTTTCCGATATCACTTTTTTCGCTTGTTTTCTATCTTTAATCGGAGTCGCGGGCGAACCTTTGTTTGAAATTTCATTAGCGAGCGGCGTGGGTGAAGGTAATTTCATTGGCTCGCCCCAATTATTGATGACGTCGAAATTCAAGCTGTCGGGACTTAAATCAGCGGAACTGCAGGGTTGTATGGGACTTCGCAAATTAAATTTGCGCGGTGGTTTCGGAGACGGAAGACACAATGGACTATCCCAGCCCATTAAAGGATTATCCTTATTGTCCGATTTGGAATCGACATTTTTAGCAGCTGTTGAGTGCTCGTGGCGAACCGTGCTGCTTGCCACTGGATCGGTGCGCTCTTCGTCACATTTCTCACTTTCTTTTTCACGTCTCATTTCATTCAAAGACTTTTCAAAATCGACATCAGCTTCATCCCTATACTTCTGCGAATCTCTCGGAGAATCGGCTATAATTTCCGTGCTTTCGATTAGTAAGCGAGATGAGCGAGTAGTCTCGGGCGTGTCTTGGGCGTAATAACTATCGGTCATTGCTGATGTTGCAAAATCATCGGAAATCTTAACTAAATCCTCCTTGTGAAATAATTGCCGTTGACTTTCATGAGATGTTGTTAAAATTGGTGAACTTGATTCATCCTCTTGGCTTTCTCTTTTCTCCGAACTTATGCTGAATTTTCGTTCGCTATCGATTGACATTGTATCGCCAATAAGATTTTCCGGCAATCTCTCGTCAACTTTAACATCGGTTTTTTCATTAAGAACAATCGTTTCGCCTTTGTCGTTTGTAGCCTCGGTTACCTCTTGTGTAGTGGTAATGATTTCACCATCGTCACTCATGGTTCGAGTAGTCGTAACTATAGTGCGAATAACGTCACCCGATCTAAAACCTTCGGGCGTGGCTGTTCTTGATCGACCGTCCGATTTCTTTTCAGGCGTCGAACGTTCAGAAAAATGCGACTGTATTATATTACTATCTCGTATTAATGGTGAAATGGCTGTGTCGATGTGTGATTTTCCGGGAGACGCGTGCTCTCCAATGTCTTTTGGTAATGAAATATCCGCTAACGATTTGCCGGATAAACTTTTGTCTTCGTTGATTAGATCTCTGATTAGGGGACACACGGATTGCTCGAGTTGTTCGGCAATTGTATGGTCCATCAAGTCCTTACTCGTAAATGACCTTCTTTCCTCTTTCATAACATTAACGTCAGCGTCATCGAATCCTATGATAGTTTTCATATCTTGATTGGAAGGATTCGAGAACGAACTGCGAGGACGCTCGCTCGCTTGACATTCCAAAGGAATTAGCGTTTCTTCGATATCCTCGGTACCGCTAGTCGGCATCGATCTTACATTCGACACATCCTCTTTAATGTCCGTAGTAATTCTTTTATCCGTAGATAGATTATCCGTGCTCAATGTATTAATTCGAGATATAGAATCTAATTCTGTCTTAGTGATGATTGTCTTAGTGGTTTTCGTCGTTATAATTTCAATATTTTGTTTATTAAAGTCATCGTCATATGTAAATTCTTCCTTCGTTTTAGGGCCTCCAATCTCCTTAAAAATTTCATGCTTCACTTCCTCGTACACAGTCTTCGACTCTTCCTTCTCTATCTCGCGTTTTTCTATCTTCTCCTTACCCTCGGTTACTTCTTCTCTTTCTAACAATTCGACTACTGGCGACGATTTAACCTTAACCATTCTTTCGCGACAAATTAATTCTTCGGGCACGACATCTGTACTCTCTTCGGGACATGCGCCAGTCATCCTTGTGCTTTCTAAATTAACATTATCCTTCTCTTTATCACTTTGGCCACGAGCATCTCCATCACTCTTTGGCAAATTTCGACTTTCTTCATCCTCCTCCTCTTTTGCTTCATTGGCCGAAGATATGGATAGCCTTTGTTTGCCATGGGTAACCTTATCATCGGTCAACTCTTGGGATTTCTCAGGCACACTCTTGTTGATTGTCGTTGCCGTGGTACTTGCGATTTCCGAGGCAGAATCCGGGGTACCATCTCTCGCTAGACTGTCGGGAGTCGATTTACCAGAAAGCGTCGTAATGTGGGTTGTTCGAATTTCCGTCATTCCACACATAAATGCTTTATGAAAGGGACTTTCAAAGTCCGAGAATGCGACGTTATTGCCATCCTTGTCCTCGTAATGCTGTCGATCTGGAGTAGAATAGCCCGATGATTTCTGTTCGCTCACTTCAGATATTGTTTTTCTCTCCGAGTCGGACTTAAATTGTGTATCGTCGTAGTCTTCCTCATAGAATATCGATTGATCCGCAATTGAATCTATGGCTAACTGTTTTTTAATAAGAATTTCCTCAATAATTTCTAGTATTATGTATTTTGGTAAGGACGTCTTCATAAGAATTTCATCTAATATAGGCTCGGTTATTTTTATAGCTCGTGTTATGTAATCATCCATAAGTAGATTTTCCACCTCCGCACGCTTATTCTCAGAAATAGTAATCTCTTCGTCGATATGAGGCTCGGGCCTGTCCGATGCAAACGTAATCAATGACTCTGGTTCTGAGCTCGGGCTAACATTTTTCGTTATCTTAATGGTATCTTTAAGGCTCCTATCTGCATCGGACATTTTTCTTGATTGGCACTCTTCGTTCGGCATCGTCGTACACCTTACTACGCTACAACTATCCGAAGCTTCTTTATCTTGATCGACAATAATCGAATGTCTTTTGAAAATATTCTTTTGTAGATCGTCGAGGGAATCTTGAGATAATTCTAATTCATCTTTCTCATCGAGTGCGACATTAACATTGTCACTAGACTCTTTTCTATATACCAAGTTATCCAACTTTTCAAGCAACTTATCATCGTGTAAACTAACGGCTCTTGATCGCGTTAACGGTGTTTTATCATCGGCCTCAAACAGGCTTTGCGATCTTGATCGATCTTTGCTCTTAGCTTCTGCATTACTTTCGATGCTTACTGTTGATTCTTTGCGCTCGCCACTCGATTCCTGTATAATAGTATCGGCACGGGCATTGCCATTAGTCGGACTCGTCGATGGTGATTTATGAAAATCATGTTTATCTTGATGGCTTTCTGCCAGCTTCGCTTCGTCCATTCCTTCTTCATTCTTATCTTCGGTGAGAATTTTATTATCCGATACACTCGATGATCTTGATTTAACCGGTGACATTTCGTTCGATTTACCATGTTCACGTTCCTGCTGCAACTCATCGTCAATTAAGTCAAAATCCAGCTTATCGTTCAGTAAACTCGGTGACTTTGACATACCTGACACCTCTATATCATTTGACTTAACACTTGCGATACTTGCCGATTTTGATCTGATTGTGAAAGGCTCGTAATTCTTATCACTAGCAATACTGAACTTTCGATTATCTTCATTAATATCAGTGGAATGTGTGGGTAAGACAATATTCGACGCGGAACCAGATGCTCTTAATGAATCATCAATGTTTTCATCTACTTTTATCGACGAGGCTCGCCTACTGCGCTGTTCTAAAAATGATTCCGACTCCATCTCAATCTTTCTGCATTTAGCTTTCTCATCGGTAGCATCAGAAAACTTTTCCTCGTCAGAATCATCCTTAAATAAAGACGACGATGATTGTTTACGTTCGCTCGCTTTTACCTCTTTTTCTCCAATCTTTTCTACGGATGCTTCAGTAATACACATTAGATCATCTTCGTGCCTATCCAAATCCAATAATATATTTTCTTTATCGTCTCCGTCTGAAAAATCAATTGTCTTGCCCGCTTCATCAAATAATCTATCTCCTGTTTTATATTCTTCCTCGGATAAGTTTGACATTTTAACTAAATTATCAGCTTGATTTGGCTTAATATCTTCATATTTTGTACTTGCTGACGATAAACAGGATTGATCGGTTAAGGAGACTTTTTTTCCTATTTCTTTCTCGAGACTGGGTGATTTTGATTTATTATCTGCACTTGCTACAATATTTGTCTCAGCTTGTTCGTGGTCATGAAATTGAAACGATCGATCCTCGGTATCTCGAACCTTGTTTAGATTAAAATTTTCCCTTTCGTTAGCAATAGTGACCGATGATACGTCCGATACTACGGCCTTTGGTAATGATTCTTTTTCAACACTCGGTGACTTAGATCGATGACTAGACTTCCGACTTGTCGCTTCGGTATAATCAATGCTTTCTATAAGCGGCACATCTTCTTGCTCTTTATCTTTAATACCTTTGTCACTTACACTTTTCGCATTAATTTCATCTGTCGTCTTATCTTTTGGCTGTAATGCAGTGCTAATAGAAATTTCTTCACTGGAAATCCCTTTTGTCATGGCAATAATATCTTTCTCAACGCTTGGCGACCTTGACTTATCCTTCAGAGGACAAATAACTTCATTAGCAGTCTTGCCATGAATATTATGAGATTCGGCATCCTTATATATTACATCTTTTTTGGCATCAGGAGTTTGAGAACTAACGTGGCTGTTGTCACTCACAGTTTCATTTACTATTTCTTTCGTATCTTTGATAACTGTTGATTTTTCAGATAAAACCTCCGTCTCGTTTTCATTTCCTGTATCAGTCTTAATTCCGATCACGTTATCCGTCACTTCTAATTCATCGTCAGACGAAAATTCTTCGGGGGCTGTTGCCTTTATTAGCGAATCATTTTTGACACTTGGAGATGTTGGCTTATCTTCGATCTGGCAAATGTCTTGAGAATCACTTGATTTTTCCAATGATGTTGATTTGCACATTACATCTTCATCCTTGCTAATGGACTTTGATCTTACGTCGGGTTTACTAACCAAAATTTCTCCAGCTAAATGAACTTCATCCCTTTCGCTACTCGGTGACTTTGATCTATCCTCGCATTTAGCAACATCTACCTTTTCCATCGACTGCGTTTCAAATGATGTTGATTTGCAAATTACATCTTCATCCTTGCTAATGGACTTTGATCTTACGTCGGGTTTACTAACCAAAATTTCTCCAGCTAAATGAACTTCATCCCTTTCGCTACTCGGTGACTTTGATCTATCCTCGCATTTAGCAACATCTACCTTTTCCATCGACTGCGTTTCAAATGATGTTGATTTGCAAATTACATCTTCATCCTTGCTAATGGACTTTGATCTTACGTCGGGTTTACTAACCAAAATTTCTCCAGCTAAATGAACTTCATCCCTTTCGCTACTCGGTGACTTTGATCTATCCTCGCATTTAGCAACATCTACCTTTTCCATCGACTGCGTTTCAAATGATGTTGATTTGCAAATTACATCTTCATCCTTGCTAATGGACTTTGATCTTACGTCGGGTTTACTAACCAAAATTTCTCCAGCTAAATGAACTTCATCCCTTTCGCTACTCGGTGACTTTGATCTATCCTCGCATTTAGCAACATCTACCTTTTCCATCGACTGCTTAATATTCTCAGAAATATCGTCTTTATTATCTGCGCTCGATAAACGGGATTTATCTATTGAATCACTTCTAAGCGATTTACTTAATATAATCTCAGACTCCTTTGTATCCATCGAATCTTCCCTAGGCTTGGCAGCTTGTAAATGATCTATCGTATCATCTTTAATTGTATCACTCATCATATCTTTCTCATATTCCGGTAATTTATCATGTGAAGCATACTTTACATCTAATTTGCTCGTGCTATCTGGAAGTGTAGATAAGTCTTTTGGTTTCTCTTCGGTAGCTTCAAATTCTTTGATTATTTCAGCTGTTGGAAACAACGTGTCATTGGGAATCTTTTTCTCATCTATTTGACTACTTAGACTAATAATTGTATCATTATCACTCGAGGTAATGGATTTTACCACTAATTGCTCTTTGGAATCCTTATCTTCTTCAGCAGCTGATAAGTTAAATTGGTCCGATTTATTAGCATCAATTATATGTCTATCATCGATTAATTTATTCGAATCAATTACTGAATCCGTGACGGCTTTCATTTCTTTCTCGACAAGATTCTTTTGTAATTTGCATTGATCTTGAATATTCTCTTCACAAGTTAATAACTCATTAGTGAAAGTTTCATCTTGATCTTTCTGTTGATCGAATGTATCGAATGCTCTCATTTCTAACAAATCTGTCTCCGATACGATACTTGCAACTTCCGTTGGAATAATTTCTTTTAAATCTACATCTTCTTCCAAACGTTCCTCACAACTCTTTTCTCTTTCAACAAAATCTTTAGAAGCCATACTGTAATTACTATCCGATAATTTTTCTTTTTCATCTATATCTTTTTCTAAGCTCGGCGACTTTGATCTATCTCTACTTGCAATTACAGTATCATCGATAGTTCGTATATTTTCAGTGGATATCATCGATACCTTACGTAACTTTTCCTCCATCTGTTTATCTATTGTAATTGTTGATAATTCATGTTTTTCTGATTGATCGCCGATTGCTTGGCCTTTAGCATCGTGCTCGTCTGATTGATAGTCAGGAGACGTTTGTTTAAACACATCGGACATATCGACAATTTTTTCCTTCACAACACTAATTGATCCTGGCCGATCTTTTATATCATCACCCACATGTTCTTCGTGAATTTCATCTTGCACTTTTTCAGAAATAATGGCTTTATCAAGCGATTGTTTTCGTTCTATTTCAGTTTCATTATTTGTTAACAATTTCGTTGGATGATCGATAATGTGTGTAGTTGACGATTGTGAGCTCATATTTTCCGTTAATGAAATATCACCAGCACGATCGGGCAATATTTCCGTTGCAGTTGTGGATACTATGGAAGATTTTCTAATTACACTTGGTGCAATCGATTCGGTTTTGTCCTTCGACACCTCCGATTTAATTCCTAGGCTTTCCTCTACTTTACAATCCGTTAAAATATCGACTTCTTCCGGAACCAATTTTTCAGACGTAATACTGGTTTTCTTAGTCGCGCTATCATCCGAGGCTAATGAATCTTTTCGTGAAATTGCTTTAATCTCTTCCAATGGCTCGTCAGGTGATGACGTTTTTTTATATGCAATAGTTCCACTAGGACATATTTCTATTTCATGCCCGCCATCTTCGCTACTTGCAGTAACAACCATTCTTTTAACCATTTGTTCTTGCGTCTCATGTTGCGCTTCATCTACTTTCACATTCACATTTGAGCTGTCCAATCTTTCATCGTCATTCCGCGCAATTTTGTCTTGTTCCTCTTGTAATTTTGCAATTTTTTCCGTAATTTTATCTTTATCTGAATCTTCGGATCTCGAAACTGAAGAAATAATGCCATAATTAAACGATGATTCTACGTTTGATTTTTTCTCTTTAGCTTCATCAAGATATTTTTCGTTTGTATCCACATCGGGTAAATCCGAAACTTCGAGACCCTTATGGGCTGATTTACACGCTTCATCAGTTATTATTATATCATCGTCTTTACTAGATTTTTCCGCCGTCTCTTTGACGAATTTTTCATCAGCTTCAATTGCATCGTTAAAATCATCGGGCATTTTCTTCACCTCTTTATCGATTTCCCCTAATTCTTCGACAGACGGCATTGATGATATACCCTGCACTTTATATTCCTGCTCTACAGCTTCGAAGTCACGTAAAACTTTTGTTTCTAGTTGTAATTGGCTACGCTCTTGCTGTAAAAATGCATCTACAGCATCCGTAGACGATATTCTAACAAAACTATCAACCATCTTATCTTCATCTAATTCCTCAACATTTAAGGAAGCAGACTCTGTCTTATCTGTATCTTGAATAGGTATATGCGAATGGTCTCTGCTTACAGTAGTAGTAGTAGTGGTAGTAGTAGTAGTAGTAGTTGGAACATTCAAAAGTAAATCTTCTTTTTCAATCTGTGATTGCGATGCTTCATCTAAATCATCCTTACGTATTACAAAATATGGCTCTGCAGAAATATCAAAAACAGATTCTCTAGAAAGTTTCATTTTTATTATAATATCCTCGACTATTTGTATCACAATAGCATTTGAAACAAAATACTTTTTAGAAATATCATCGATCGCGTCTAACGATAATTTTCTATTTTTATTGAACAATTCATTTTTAATGTAATTTTCAATTTCTAATTCTTTCTCTTCTGATATATTATCACATGCTTGTAAAATCTCAAGATTATCCGTAACGTCTTCAACAGGAATCTCATATTTAGTAATAATTTCTTGAATAATATTAATTACTTTTTCTTTAGGCACGCATTTTACGTTTGCAATGTAATCCAAAACTTGCATCGTAATTTTTTGTTTCCTTACCATAATAAATTCTTCGATAATATTCTCTAAATTCATCTCCATATTAAATATATCCATATTTTTCGCTGAAAGCTCGGATAAACCTAGCTCCGTAGCAAATTTAGGCGAACTTGGTGTGGAACCTGGTGTGACAATTACAAGCTCAGCTTTATCAGGTGAAATATTCTGTTGAAAATTGATTTCCGGCGCAACTATTATTTGCTCCTCATCGAAATTTTCATCTCGAACTTCTTTATGTGCAACCTCTTTTATACATAATTTCTCTAGACCCAAGTCCATAACGTCTACTCTAGTATCACACTCAACAGAAACAGCCGGCTTTTTGATAATATCATCCGCCATAATGGCCTCACAGAGTTTCTTAATATCCTCTTCATCTGAATCGGCATCATTAGTTGGAGATGCTGTTAGATTTTTTTTATTAACAATTTCGATATAAGGCTCTTCGACGATTTCATCTTTTTCAATTTTTTCAGAATGTAATGGTAATGTTGTACTCGCTTCGTTTGCCAATGATTGCTTCAACTTTTCTCGAGAAGCAGCGCTTTCAATAATCTCTAATTCCTTAGGCAATGTAACGCCTTCGGCTACCTCGAAACTTGTACTATCGCGTTTAATCGAAGGTTTTCGTTCGTTTGCAAAAAGCGCCTTTTCCGACAGAAAATCATCCTCTTCTTTAAGTACTTTCGCTACTTCGCTCACTATTTCTTCAACATTTTTACGTTTACTTTCCTTCTCGATTTCAATACCAGCCGTACCCACCAGGACTTCGGCAACATCTCGCACAGCCTCTTTAAAATCTCGGACTGGGATTTGAGAGTCGTCTTCTTCATCCTCAAGGTCTTCGCTCGGAATTGTAAATTTAACTTTCTCTGGCTCTTTAGAATCTATTAAGTCATTCTTATCTGACTCGATATTCTCGAGTTTCGCCGCAACCCCTGTTAATGTATCTGCTATTGTATCTTTTGTCGCTGCGGTCGATTTATTCACATCATCCGCCTTTTCTTCCAGCGAATCTAATGAATCTTGCAAGCTATCTTTTACATTTTTAAATCTCCTAGACGCTTCATCAGCAAATGCTTCGACTTCTTCATTATCTTCTATAATCTGCTCTTTCACTTGCTCCATAATATTATCATCATTAACTATATTATCTATTTTTAATTGTTGGCCCACCGTAGAGTTTGACTCCACTATATTCTCCTTCACATTTGATATTTCTTCTTGCAAAAAAGTCGCGGTCTCCTTAATTATCGCATCTTTAATATTGCACACATCTGGTTGTATGTATTCGAAGCTTTCAACTTTCTCTTCAATTTTTCCGACCTTTGGGAAAACTTTTTCCACATCAATATCTTCAAATACTGGCTTTTCAATATTTTTAATGTCTTTCGGTGAGCTTGACTTTGATGACTTATCTTCGGATTCTTTATCCGAGTCTCGCCTAGATTTTTTCGTTAATTTATCAATACCTTTTTCCAGCTTATCGGCTACTTTCCCAAAGAAACTAAACACCCCCTTGTCCTTGTGTTCTTTAACAACGGGAGGAGAAATTGGCGGATCCTTCGCACGTTGTATTAATTCCTTTTGTATTGGTATTTTTCTTTCCTTTTGCAAGTCGTCCACTTTGTAAAGCTTAGGATCGACTTCTTCATGAACAGGCAAATCGGCAACTTCGTCTGGCGTTTTAACAATATCTCTCACCATTCCACGATTAACCGACGATTGCACGTCCAAAACTTTAACTTCCGGCCTCGAGGCAATCACCACTCTTTCAGGAATTATTTCTTCTTGCTTATCTAGATTGTTCTTTTCTTTCACTACTTGTATAACGTGTTTATCATCCGCGTCTTCCTTAATATCATCAAGCGGAATTCGTTCGTCTTCTGGTAATGTTGGCGCAGTCGTTGTTGCTCCTGATTCCAAGGTTGAAACACGCTCTTGCGATTCCTCCAATTTTTCTGGAATTAGCCCCCTTTGCTCCGCATCGGCTTTATTCGGAGATTCTAATTTATTAGGACTCAAGCTTATAGGATCCTTCTCATTATCGTCGTCATCTTTTTTCCCTGAAATGTCCTTGCTCTCGATCTTTTGTATTACCTCGGTAGCCGAAACAATTATTTGTTGCATTTCTTCTTTCAAGTGCTCCCTATCCTCGGCAGGCAATTCTATTGATTTTCTAATTTCCTGTCTTTTTATTGGCTCGTCGATATTCTTCTCTGCCACATCCTGACTCTTCTCTTCATTAAGTTCCTTAACTTCTCCCCGATCTAATACTCTTTCCTCCGAAATTTCGTCAATTTTCACTCGATTTTTTTCAGATTCCAATTCGTCGAGATGATGTTTATGCTCTGCTTCGCCACTTTGCACCGAATCTTCTGTAAAAATTTCTTCCTTTTCAACAATTAAATATTCATCCTCTTCCGTTAACTCGTGACTTTCCTTTCTTAAAATTTTTTTTGTCATCTCATCCATTTCTGCGGTAACATCATCCTCGGTCATATCTTCTTCTTTCTTATCAATCGCTTCTGCCGTTATATCATCATCGCCATCGAAAGGCTCCTCTTTTCGAGCTTCTTCGATTCTTTCGGCTTTCTGCAACACAGCTTCAATTTCCTCGACCACCTCTCGCTCTTCCTTTAAATCATCCAATACTTTACTCTCTATAGAATCCAGTGAAATGTCCTCTGATCTTTCCGTTAAGTTCTTATCTATTAATTTGATAGCAGATTCAGGATCGATTCCAGAAGGTGTCGAGACGGCGGACGAGTCTGTTGTTTCTCCCTTTATTCTTCGAATTACGGCATCCTTCTCAGATTTTATGGAAGCTGTCGGTGTACTTCTTGTAGATTTTGCGGGACTTATAGGTAGTCGTGCTTTATTAGGACTCATCGGTTTCGCCCGACGACTAATAGATTTTCGCTCTGCTGGCTTTGTTTTCGTAATTGCTTTTGCTCCAGCTGTTGGCCCACCAGAGCCTGCTATTGATGAAAGTTCGATATTTTTTCGTTCGACTACTAAACGATTGTTTGCATCCTTTGTGCTTTTAGCAGGAGCTACGGATGGAGTTTTCGGTACAATTTTATTTGTCGATTTCGTGACAGCTTTTGAAATTTCTGTTTTTGTCGCTGCTCCATTCATGGATTTTTTTGGTGTGGTGGGGGATGATTTCATAATATCCTTCTTCTCTACGGAGGGCTTCAGCTTCTTTTCAATAGATTTTAATGAAGTTTTTATTACGCTTTCGGGTTTACTTGCTTTAACAATTGGCTTGGTCATTTCTTTACTTTCTTTTTTCTTAATATCAGTTTTTTGCACTTTATTTTCCTTTGTAATAGCAGTCTTTTCGGTTTCGACCTTCGCATCAGTCTTCTTCGTTTCTGATTCAAATCGTTCGGATTTTTCCACTTTTTTTATTTCTCGCTTCGTCTCCTTTAATTCCTTTTCCATACTCTTAATTTCCTTCGTTTCGGATTCAATCTTTTTGTTTTCCACAACTTTTTTTACTTTAGTCTCTATTTTTGGCTGAG